GTGGAGGGGGGGAGTGCTCTGGAGTGTCCAGTCTTCCCTGGTGCCTCACACTGCTTCAGTTGCTCACAGACAGAACTAGCAAACATCAGAGGCTTATGGGTAACCTATTAATAAGGTTAAAATGTTTTTGCCATGTGCCTAGTCTACTCCTGGGGGAATCCAAGAGGATGATGAGACATAAGGGTGAAGTATCAAATCTAATCCCCCTTGCTTGAAAACATCTCCACCTCCTCCCCCTACCCCCCACATGTGCCTGAGGCAGACAGGTAATCCTAAGGCACCTCTTTGCAGCTTCCAGGGGGGCTTCCCAAGAAAGTCAAGACCTAGGTAAAGTGGAAAATAAATGTGGATAATATTCCAGATAGATGTCTCTGATCAAAACCACAAAATTAAACTACTAGGTTCACTTTGGGATCCACGTTTAGGTCCCTCTTACAACAGAGCTAGAAATCAAGTTCTCAGGCACACCCGGTATTGCCCACCTGTGCCCAGGATTACGATGTGCAGTCAGGACAAAGTGAAAGGGACCCCAGGTTCTGGACCAGCTAGTAGCTTTCTGCCAACCTCCAGAGGTACTTAAAGAAAAGGGGCCCTGTAGGTCCCCAGGGCTGGGGACCTGGCAGCTGTGTTTGCCCATTGCCCTGCAGCCCTGCATGACTCACTGCCCAGTTCCTTGGCCTCTCATGCAGGCTCACAATTGCCGGGGTACTTCATACTGGGCTAGAAGAAGTGGAATGTGGCACTTCTTCCCCACTGACAAAAAACCAGAGATCTTTCCCTTTAAACAGGGGCAAGACACTGGCCTCAGTTCTCCTAAGTGCCAGCACAACATATAGAACTGTGAGAGATCAATAACGGGCATAAATGCTCTTGTGGTTATAGAGCCATTAGCCTGGATGAAGCCTGGTAGCCTGCTGAGCACAGGAAGAAAGGCCCTTCCCCCTCCCTCCCCTTGGCTTTCCTCCTCAGTCCCCTTCCCTCCTTGCTCCCTATGTCTAGCTCAATCACCAAGGAAGCCAGCCATGCCCCACCCCAGGAGCACGACAGTCCAGGAGTGGGTTATTACCTGTGATGATGGCCGGGTGGTTCTGTCCTCCCTCGGGCTTCACCCAGGTTTCCACAGTGAACACCTCCCGGGGAATCTCAGCCAGCGCTTCTGGACGCAGCAGCAGCCGCTCCCTCCGCCCCGAGAAGTACAAAACAGGCAGTCCTCCCTGGGGTGTGACAGGCTCTGCTTCCCAATAGGAGTCCCCTCCACCCTTCTGGATGCTGGCCTCCAGTGGACTGGGTCTGAACCCCAGCTTAGGCCACGGTCGGAGACGCTGAGGAGAGACACCGGGGTCTCCTTGCGCACTCTCTGCTTGCCCCTTCACCACCTGGCGTCGGAGTCTGGCCTTGACCCAGTCTCGCCTTTGGGTCTCCGATGCGGGGTCCTTCAGGCTCGCAAAGCTGGTGGACATGGTGGCAGTGGTGGCTGAATGTCCCTGAGTCCCAGCCTCACCTAGAGATGCCCTGGATCCTCTATGGCCAAGAGAAGTATCAGCACCTCCCATTAGCTCAGAGTGTCCCAAGGGCCCAGCTCCTACCCAGGACACAGCTGACAGCTGAGCCTCGCTCCTTACTTTTGCACCTGCATCTGAGTCTGGGGGAAGGCTCACAGCCTTGCCACCCTTATCTGGCTGGCTGCGTCCTGCAAGAAGGGTCCCCTGCTCCCTACCAACGTAGGGCCTCAGGTAGTTCCCAGACCTGCTGGGGTATACCCCAAAGAGGTGATGCTGGGGAGCAGCTCTGGGTCTTCGAAGGTTGGCTCCGAGCCAGCAGCGTTCTCCTTCCGACAGCACCTGCACTAGATGTTCCTTCTGAGCCAAGGATCTCTTGCATGTCCAGCCGGGCTCAGAGCAGGCAGCACTGAGTGCCCACCCGGCCAGAATCACTAGGCTTATTCTCAGTGCCTTTATGCACGTCATACCTCCCCCCACTCTTTTTCTAGAACCAGAGGTTAACTTCTGGGTGTCACACCAGAATGACAGGGAGAAGAGCAAGAGACGGCTGGCGGTGGAGCGGCAGTCACCAGGAAAATTGCTCTGTTCACAAACCAAACTTTTCTCAAGCAGCCCCCAAGGAGCGCCTCTTCCCGTTCCCTGTGCTAGGTGTCTACCTCACCCTATGTGAGCGCTTCACCCGCTCCCTGGACCTCCCAGCCCTTGCTCTCTTTCAGTCCTTTCAGTCTTTTCCCTTGGTTCCTTTAAGTTTCCTTCCAGAGAACTCAGGTTGGTTTTCTCCCAGTTCTTCAGTAGCCCCTCCCCTGATGACAATAGGAGGGTGATAAAGAGCACCAGTCAATTCTCTCAAATACACACTCACTCAGAAACACGTACCCCTCTGTGTCCTGAAGTTAATCAGATCCTGTAATTCTCATTGCTTTCTCCTTCCTCCTTTTCTTGGTAGTTACCTCTTCTTTGTAGTCTTTAGCCAAAAATATATTCACCTTTTCAAAGAAGTTGCTAGAAGAATTTGCATACAGACACACAGGACTGGATGCTTAGTATCTAAATTCAAAAAGAATCTGGGGCACAAAAAATCCAGGCTGGTACTTAACTTTCATCTCCAGATGTCCTCCTCAACCAGAGCGCCTTCCAGCTGCCAGTGTGCCTGTGTAGGTCACAATATTCCCTCAGCTTGGTGCTTGGTATTGTTGAGTGCTGAAGGTTGTTTAATCCCCTTCCAACTTGTTGGTATGTTGCAAGTCTCTGTAAGTTCTCCTTTAGGGTTCCATTCTGATGTCCTTAAAATCTTATGAGTCTGGGAGCCCTTGACTTCACCTTCAGATAGTCTTGTGGGTCCCTGGAAAGATGGAAAAGAGAGTGAGGAGAAAAGTATGGACTTCAGGGGACCTGCTCTCTCCAGTCCCTCTGTAACAGGGTGGTCCCTAGGAAAAAGGGAAGTTGCTCTCCTTCTCTCCCTTCCACTCTGGCTGGAATATCTTCTTGTTTGCTTCATTTAAAGACAATGATGATGTCAAAGCTAATAAGTTCTACGCATCACTCCACCTACTCCCAGTCCCCTCCTTCCTTCTGAAAACCTCCCACCTCACTGAGGCACAGGGGACAGACCTACTCCTGGTTTCCCCAGTAAACATCTAGGGCTTTCTCTTTCAGCAGCTGCAGGCTACACAATCAATAGGAAACAATCAATACTGTTTTGGAGCACTCTGTGTATGTATTCTGTCTCTCTCTTTCTCTCTCTCACATACTCACACACCCTCACAAGTGTTATCAACAGATCTGTTTCCCACCTAACAAATCCACACCAGCTTTTTAAGGACCACTTGCATCTCTTTCTTTTGTTTTAGCACACCCCTCCTGTACTTTTTTTCTTACTTCAATCATTTGAATTTTAAAACAATGATGCCCCAAATTCACTTTATAGCAGACATGAGGAGAAATCAATTATCTTGCTATAAGAAGCATTAAATAGAAATGCCATGAATTCCCACTACATCACTCTTCTTTTTCTCTCTGAAGTTTCTCATTCTGAAGTTATTGAAAGTTCAACATATGCTGAGTGAGCGAATAAACAAACGAGAAGCTCAAAATAAGTAATTTGCAAAAAGTAACAGGAACTACTTTGTTGAATTGATTTCAAATGAATGAATAGGATGTGAAAGTAAGGAATGTGCTTTTTAACCTCTGTAAGATGTTTGCACAAATGCAGGCGAACTCAGAGGGTCTCACCCTAAACAGATGTGAATGTACAAACAAGCACTCATACACATACACACAGAGCATGCTTCAGAATTTCCAACACAAGTAAGGATGTTCAAGAACAGGTGGGCACAAAACAGGGAGAGGAATATTTTGGGTCCTTCACTCAATAATAAGAAAAATCACACCTCTAAAATCACTGCTTAGTGTTGCACACATATAAATATGTCACCCACATACTCTGGAGTAAGTTCACACTGCCTGCTTTGCCTGACGTCTCATCATCATCTTCTAAACTCCTCTCCCCCTGCTAAGAATGGCCTTACTTGCTTTAGGAATGTTGTGTCCCAAACACCCATCCCCATCCCCAGCTGTATCCCTATGAACATCCACTGAAGCCTCAAAGCCAGTCCCCAAAGAAGATATCAGTTCAGGCACGTGGACATTACTAACCAGAAATCCTATATCCTACACTGTGCTTTTTCCTTGTATCATTCCCTTACCTCCTTTCATTCTTTTGACTCGGTCCTTTTTTTCTCCCCCCCTGAAGTACCTCACTAGAGATTGGGACTTTGAGAGGAAGAGAGGAAGATGTAGAGAAGAATGCCAAGCAGAGGAGAGAGAGACAGTAGCAGAGGCAGAGAAAGAGAGAAACCAGCCAAGAAGGAGGGAAAGAGGAGAGAAGGCTTAGGTTAAATAAAGGGAAGATACTCAGGTAAGAAAAGAGTAAACTTCCCCCTCCCTCATCCCACCCCCAAGACCCTCAGAAAAAGGTTTCCTACCATTCATTTCAGGAAGAAGGGCTAACACAGCAAGGAAGAAGAATTCCGCCTGCTTTTCTGCCCCTTTTAATGTGTAAATGATCTTGCATCCCCTATAGGTCTCTCCTGGCTCTCAGCTGCTAGTAATCCATTCATAAGGTTTCAGGAAGCTACACAAAACTCAAGCTTCCAGCTTAGGCTCTCTCTCTCCCCTTCATTCCTTTGCTCACCACTCTCTCCTTCAGCTCTTGGCAGTCCAAAGTTTACAAAAAAATGTTGAACCATTTCTGTGTTTTTCTCCTGTTGTAACTTTTGCTGTGACATCATAACCCTGCCCACCAACACCCCACCTCTCGCTCTCCTTTCCATCCCACCCCTCATCAGCCCCATACCCCCCAAACACACACCCCCACAGAGAGGAAGGGCTCCTGTCAGTTCCAACATGTGAAAACACAAAGCTACTAAGAGGTACCCTCTCTCTCTCTCCCCTCCGTCCCCCCTCTCCCCCCTCCCTGCCTTACCCACCGCTCAGCCACGGTTCTCCCAAGGCTTTTAACAATGATGCCATCTGTTTGACATGTGCGGAAAGGTGGGCTGGATTCAAATAATCTGTCAAGTGAATCAGATCAAAACACAACAACCCCCTCCTCAATCCCATCTCTCTCTCACACACACACACAGACAGACACACACTCACACACACCCTATGCCCCAGCAACAGTGTGGAGAAGTCACTCGTACACAGCACCCACCCTGAATGCCAGGGAGAAAGACACCAAACATGCCAGAGGAAACGCACATTTAATATACATATAAATTCTGTGGCTTATTTGTTTATGAACACCCGAACCCCAGCCCCCTACTCCTCTTTCCTAAGCCCTGCCACTCCGCAAGTGCACAGACTTGAAAGCTGGTAGGATCTGTTTTGAAATCTCCAACGAGAGGGTTTTTCCCCCTTTTTTTCACTCCACAGCACTATCTGTGGCGATCAGACTAGAGCACGTTGCCAGCAAATGCAGGAGGCCCCTTCTAGGGTACAGGCTTTCCAACCAGGGAAGCTGGAGGGAATGGATTTAAGGACACACAGCAGGAGCTGGCTGAATTGATTTTATTTTGACGGGGGGTAGTTGGGGGAGGAATACCATTTCTGAAATGCCCAAGGAATGAAGGAGAGGATATGGATTTCTTAAACAGTTTGTGCAAGAGGAGCGGGGACTTGTACAGGTAAATCTACAAGGCGAGAAATTGGAGTTTACAGATAAACAAGGACCAGGACGGAGAAGCAGAGGGAGAGGAGGGCAGGGAAAGGAAGGGGGGGGAGAGGGAGAGGGGAGAGAAGGGCAGAAGGACAGAGGGGCAAGGGGAATGGGAGGGGTGAGGGAAGAGAAGGGAGAGGAGGAAGGAGGGGAAGGGAGAGGAGGGACATGGAGTGACATGGAAGGGGGAGGGGGAGGAAGGGAAAGAGAAGCATCTGGGAGGAGAAAGGACTGAAAAAGAAAAGCAGGGGAGAGAGGAGAGGAGAATGAGACAGAGAGAAAGAGACACATAAAATATGGACACCAGGAAGGCACTTCAAGCCATGATGGTGATACCTAAGGCAAGCCAGAGGCAGGTGAAGGGACAGACTGCAGCGGGGGCAGGGCCAGGTCTCGTGCACGGATGCCAAGGACACACAGGGGTGGCTGTCTCTTGGTGAGCAATTAAGATTGCCAGGGTTCAATATTGTCTCTTTAAGGAAACCCCTGTTCCCTCCTCCTCCCCTGCCTCTCTACCTCTTCCATCAACACCGACTGCTACCACTCCTTTCACCTTTTTGTTTCCAATATTTTCTCCCCGTGGAGGATTCACTGCCCCCATGCTCCCCCAAACCCTCCCATAGTCCTTTTCTTTGCTTCTATTCACAGAGCATACTGAGTCCTCTTAGCTGAAGACTGAGCTGTTTTGTGACAATCTGCACTTCGTTTCCACCCAACTTACACTATGCTTCCTTTAAGCCCAGGACTTCAGTGCTGTTTGGCTTGTATCTGCTGCCACAGTGGGGCTGGCCAGCAGCCAGCAACATCTTTAATACTAAGTCTCTGAGTAAAGAAGCAGCCGCATCAGTGTCCACCTGCAGGAGAGAACATTAGTGAGGGGTGAGACAGAGAGACCCCTTAATGTGGCCACCGATTCTGACTTTCTGATTCCAAAATCTGATCCCTGGAGGGAAGAGCTCAGCTGGGAGCCAGCCAGGGGGCGTAGTCATAAAAGCCTCCCAGAAGACAACTAAATGCAGTATCTATATATAGGAGCCGGGTCTGTTTTAGCTACTTGCAGGCTAAAATGACACCCGGAAACAAACATTTCAGCAATATGTTTATTGGAATCTTATTCAGCTGGTGCTGGAAAGAGTGAGCTTCTCTGAAGAATTTCACTCTAAGGCTCAGGGCTGCTGCCTTCTGTCCCCCCTACAAGGGTGCTCAGATTTGGGAGACAGCGGCTCTGGGGGTCATGGGGGCCACTTGAGATTCCTTCAGGGAGACCTACCCCTGCATTCTTTTTCATGGATAAAGAAGCAAGGGTGGAGGCACAATGACTAGCAGGGCCAGATCCGGAAGCCAGGTCCAGTTATTCTTCTCTGGCCTGTATTTGTCTTGCAGGTCTGCTAAGCCATGGCCAAATGGATAGGAAGGCAGGGTCAAAGACTGACTTCTTGTGTTCCACACTCAGTCAGAGCACCAGGGAATAGACGTGTGTCATATGTATTCTGTAGCTGAGACTCACACAGCACTCAAAAGGAAATGCAAATCTGGATTTCACACCCCTATCTGTGCATTTTGAGCCAAGAGAAGGAGCCCTATCTTTTTGTCGAACTGTTTGGTTCTCCGTCTGTTAGTTAATCATATTTTTTCCCACAACACTTTTACTATTATAAATGACTGTTGATGTTCATTGGTAGTGCTTTGCAAAGAGCCTTTCATCCAAACAGATCAAAGT